GTACGCTCCGTCTACAGGGCAGCTGACGTCATCCACAACCGGTGCACCTCTTTTGCTGTCTGCCGCCCCGCATCGCACCTGGAGAATGAGGTCCCAGAGGCTCTCCTGGCTCGTCACTCCACCTTCCTCTCAGGAGAGCTGCAGGAGCTTGTTGGAGGTCCTCTTTTCATCAGCGAGAGATCATTTCAAGATGCTCCACGGCTGCACAACGCCTCCCCAACTCTGTTACGCCAGCCCCTCCCATCAAACGTCCCCGGCATCCGGAAGTTCATTTTTTTCCCGGACTTCGCCAACAGGGGGTCCTCTAGGACAACAAACAGAGCTCAAGGGAGGATAACCAGGTGTCGGTTTGCTGGAGGTGTGTTGATGACACGATGTGAAATAAACATCATTTTATGATGAAGTGTTTTTTAGCCAGGCTGTCAGCATGGATTATCTGACAAGCGGCCCCATCACACACACTCATCACGAATTAGCCTTTTTAAGGTTGTTTTCATTCACTGTCAGCAGTGCCAATACGCGCTCCCGCGTCATGAAAGCGCGCACGCAGCTCTCAGCGCTCGCCGTTCACGTCAACGAGCCCAGTAACGTATCTCGCTCTCGGCATGAGCGACATGCGTTTTTCATCGCAGTGGTGTCAAACGCGCGCCCCCGCGGCATCAGCAGTTTCACAAGCCTCACAGCGGCTCTGCTCCTTCATCCTCGAAGAAGGTTTTCTGAATTAATACTGCAGCTCGTGGAATTACTCAAAAGTTCATGTGATTCTCAGCCAAGAATGAACGTGTTTCTGCAGACCGAGCCAGTGGTAACCTCACCCCACCGATGCTGCGCGCTGCTTCCTGACTGCACCAGTGTCAACGTGCGCTCCCGCGGCAATCCTGGCTTAAGGCGTTGCATGAATGAGGGTGCGCACACACGACTCTTCAGGGCACGTCGGCTCATACGTGCACCCGCTCCCCGAACGTTTACACGGATCAGCTGCACACAATGTGAGCACAACACATGAGCTGCGTCCCGCAGCAAACGCACAACGATTTGCATGCTCGGGGACGTGCGTGTTTTCTTTCTCACTCAGCGCGCACCAGCTCACATCAGCATGCATGTGAGTTTCACAGCATAAATACGTGCCCGCTTTATAACTTATAAACGAGTGGCAATGAGCACGCACTCCAGATGGATGGGCAAACCGTTTTCATCCGGGGATTCACGCTGCAGTACAGCTCAAACCCCGGTGTGGAGGAACTCTGTGATGTTTTTTTCTGTCATTTCTGAACAGATCTCTTCCCCTCTCGCAGAAGTTCAGGAAATTCTGTTTTAAATGTAATTTCTAGAGTCTCGGAAGGAGAGGAAAATGCAAGGTCCCTCTCTCATCACTTCCTGGTCCCAACGAACTGGAAAGATGAGATTTATTCTAGATTTATCAATTTTTTGAACTGTGAGAAACAACACTCCATTATGCGCCCGAGCCGTTCTAATTCTGCTTTATCTGGACACCTGCTGCTGCTGAGCAGTTGGTACAGACAGGTGGCAGCAGTGCAACTCACGTGAACCGGTTGAGTGATATCAGCTGTTTTCCGTCAGCAGACCTACGTCACACATGTCAGTTTTCACAGAGGCACACACATTTAACAAGCTGTGGGGGCGCTGTGGTTCTCCATACAGCAGCTCATTTAAATGTTTTTGGAGTGTCGCACGGGTTCTTTGAATGTGACTCAACACTGACCTTGAGCTGCAGAATCATCAGGGTTTTTTGATTCACACAGACAGCAAGTGACTGTTGCATACATAACTGGCAGGAGATGTATGCGCTCAACCCATGTGCCACATCGTGAGACAGATGCTGTGTGGGGCACACCCAATCTGCTCTCCATTGGAGTAGGGTACATCTAATGTATTCCGAACAAGGGGCGGATGTGATGTCCAAAGACGGTCCTTTGCGGCACGGGGACCTGGGACCTTCCACCCAGAGCTATGGCTCAGACACGGCAGAAATCCTGCCAGCGCCTGTGGACGTGTAGCAACACGAGAGAACGCTCAATGTCAACTATAATTATCATGGAGCCACGGGACGATCCACCGCTGGGGTGGACGTGCCTGCTCACAGCCTGTGGTCGTAATGCTTTTTCACCTTCCTCTCTCCCTCTGGTGTCACGGTTTTCTGAACCGAGCTCAGGAGGAGGGACTGGCAGCTCCTCTGCCCCAAGTGCGTGAACGCATCATGGTTCCCAGGCCTACGACACTTGTTATCAGGGCGCTTGAGGAACCTGCCGTGGAGGGAGGACGCTCTCCTCCAGGCGGGAGGAACGATCAGGAGTTAATCAGAATAGGCCAGCACCTGTGATCTGGCCGCTGTGCGGATCTTTTTGAGAGGATGGATCTCTCTCAAGATGTAGTGCGTACGATTCAGGATTCACGTGCTGCAACCACCATAGCACTGTTCACATCAAGTGGTCAGTTTTATCAGCACTGCGGTACAGAGAAAGGCGTAGAGGCCACTTCATGTCCACTGTACGACATGCTGTCCTTTTCTGCAGCAGTCGATGGACAGAAATCTGGTGTCCAGCACGATTATTGTATGCTGCGGCCATGTTTTCTTCTTGTCTCAAAGTTGTCGTAGACAGAACAACCTTTAATCATCCTCTGACGGAGCTTTTTGACTCAGATTGATATAGCAGCTGTGGGCCTGTTTGTGACACGAGAAACGCTCAGTGTCAATTATGGTTTTCTCTGAGCCCACAAGACGAACCACCGCTGGGGGTGGATGCGTTTGCCCACAGCCCATGGCCCAAAATGTTTCTGTACGCGTTTTCCTCCACCTCCTCTGATTTTACGGTTCTTGAACCGAGTTCAGGAGGAGGGATTGACAGCTCTCCTGGTGGCCCCCGAACGCGTGAGTGCACCATGGTTCCCAGTCCTGCAACGCCTGCTGTCGGGGCGCCCGTGGAAACTGCCGTGGAGGGAGGACGCTCTCCTTCAGGCAGGTATTAGCGACCAGGAGTTACCCAGAAATAGGCCAGCACCTGTGGGTCTGGCCGCTGAACGGATCCGCTTAGAGAGGATGTGTCGCCCACAGGATGTAGTTCGCACAATTCTGTTTTCACGTGCTGCATCTACCACAGCGCTGTACACATCAAAGCGGACAGCTTTTCAACACAGGTGTATAGAGAAGGGTGTAGAGGCCACCTCATGTCCATTAGGTGGCATGCTGTTCTTTCTGCAGCAGCTGATGGACAGAAATTTGGCTTCCAGCACGATTAAAACGTACGCTGCAGCCATCTCTTCCTGACACGAAGGTTTCTGAGACAGAACAAGTTTTAATCATCTGCTGATGAAGCGTTTTCTAAAAGGTGTACAGAGACGCAGGCCTGTTTTCACACCCACTTGTTCCACAGTGGGATTTAATACTGGTCCTGCAGGTCCTGATCAAAGCTCCATTTGAGTCTTTGGATCAGGTTCCACTTAAATTCTTGTCTCTTTAAACAGCCCTGCCGCTGGCTTTAACATCCGCTAAGAGAGTGAGTGATTTATCTGCCCTCTCTGTCGCTCCGTCATGTCTCAGAATTCAGGCTGACGGCAGCTCAGCTGATTTAAGACCAAACCCAGATTTTATGCCTAAAACATCACAAGCTCTTTTAAATCAAGAGCGATATCATTGGAGGGGTGTCTCCCCCCCATTCACACACAGATCAGAAGAAGTAGCGTCTTTTCATTTCCTCTGTCCGGTGCTGGTGTTGACGTGTTACATAGCGTGCACAGCTGCAATGCATCAACATTTGTTTGTGCATTATAGAGATACATCTGCAGGTCGCCCGTTATCCACCCAGCGCCTGTCACACTGGCTGTGTGAGGCCATTTTTGAAGCCTACAGAGCATTAGATTTAGCCTCCTGTCAACCTCGGAGCACACTCGACCAGGGGTATCGCATCTTCGACTGCTTTGCATAATGGTATGACAATGCAGGACATCTTGCACTGCAGCCACATGCTCAACACCCTGCTCATTCATTCGCTTTTATCTACGTGTTGTGGCGGCTCGTCCCATGACACATCCTGTCCTTAGTGTTACAGAATGAATATTGTTGTTTCATGGAACTCCGTTTTACTCACATCTGTCTGCATGCATTACAGTGTGAGATGTTATCAGTCACAAGTTGTGACTGTTATTTTGGTTCTATTGTCAATAATCAGTTCACGACTATTGTTACCAATCAGTTCATTTGATTAATAATCAGCTCTCCTGTTATTATTAATCTGTTCATACGGTTCAGCCGTAAACCGGTTGGTTCATGGCTCTTTTCAGCTTTTTTCCCTCCCCGTTGAAGTTTTCCGGGGCGTTCATGCATTCAGAACGCATAGTTACACAACATGCGTCTGTGCATGGCACACATAATTACGCAATGTGTAATTACGTACATGGGGAGCTGAGTGACAAGACGTTTTTTGAGGCAAGCTTCTGCTTCATACGGTGTTCGAATGGACCCAGTGAGGCGAGGTCAACATCCGCTTCGCCCTTAACCCACTAAGCGACAACCTTAAAGGGCTACGCCTATACTCATAGAATTTGGGGTTACAGTACGTAACCAACAATCTATTTGCTGTCTCCTTACTGACTGGTCACATCAAGACTGATTATAATTTAGGGAAAAGGATCATGGAACATTTTAATATCGTTCACACTAACAGTAAAGGAGCAGTGCATAAATACATGTTGCCTCGACAGCAGTGTGATGGCTCAGTGGTTAGCACTCAGCTAAATGGACCTGGGTTCAATCTCCGGTTTGGACCAGGGGCCTTTCTGTGGGGAGTTTGCATGTTCTCTAGTTTGTATGGGTTACTCGGGTTTCTTCCCACAGTCCTAAAACATGCGTGTTAGGCTGTCTTTAGCTATAGGCCTCCCTTGCAAAGTAAATCTGTGGTTTCAGTGGGATTAGCCTGGTTAAATAAAGGTTAATAAACTTATAAAACATTTTGTAGTGATCATGTGTCTGTGTTGGTTTCCAGATTGTGTACAACCTGCTGTCTCTACGCTTCAACTCTCGTATTCGTATCAAGACATACACAGACGAGTTGACACCGATAGACTCTACTGTCTCCATCCACAAAGCTGCCAACTGGTTTGAGCGAGAGGTGAGTCTTCACTACCGCTTAGAGCTGCGTTAAACCACTGGAAACACTGGAGCTGTTTTATTTATTCCACTGAATGTAATGCAACAAACAGTAAAGCTGCATTCAAACAGGTGTGGGACATGTTCGGGGTGTTCATTTCCAACCACCCTGACCTGAGGCGCATCCTTACAGACTACGGCTTTGAGGGACACCCCTTGAGGAAGGACTTCCCTCTGTCAGGATACGCAGAGGTGAGCTCTGCCGTCAGCGAGAAGCTTTTCCTTCCACTTCTCTTTTCTTACTTACCATATTTTCTGCTGTACATATCGCACCGCTGTGTAAGTTGCATCTATCCAAATAAGTCTAAGAAGTGGAAAAATCTAAAAATATGACACTTCGCTGTATACGTCACATCTGTTACGCGTCACTGCTGACAACCCAGAAATGTGGGCTGAACCGGGAAATGTGGGCCAAAAATTGATGGGCCGCCAAATGGCGGCCGCGGGATTGTGCACGGAAATACTTTAGTAATAATAATAAAATAATAAAGTGTTATCATTGTATGTTCCCATACAAAGACGAAATTGGCTCTGCATTTAACCCATCGCACCTGGGATACACCCAGGTGGAGTGGTGGGCAGCTATGTAAGCACCCGGGGAGCAATTTGGGTTTAACAAGAATTTAACAAGATTAACATTTAAAACAATTATTTGTTTGCTCGAAATTATAGGTGTGTCACAGTTGAACTTTTACTTAATAAATTCACTTTAATGGTCAAATTAGCTGCATTTGGCCGGGGCGGTGCAGTTGATTTGACTGTCGCTCCAAGTAGCGAGCAGAACGATTTCTTTGCTGGTGACATCCAGCTGTACTTCTATTCTCTTTAAACTTGTCACAATTACTTCAGTGTCTGTCAGAAATAAAAAATGTGTAAACAAAAAACTTCCTAAAAAGAAAAAACCTCCCTGGACCATCCCTTTAACTTTAACGTCGTACAGTTGTCACTGGACAGGGCAGGTGGCAGACTGTGTGCATGGCGTCATGTGGGTGAATGGTTTAATGATGTCAGCGTTGTGAATCGAGCGGCCCATAGTGGCGGTGGGGTTTTGGTATGGCCAGGCGTATGTTATGGACAATGACCATGGGGGCTGGTGATGTTACACATGGTCTGGTTGTGAGGCCGGTTGGGTCTCTGAACACGGACATTCCTGCAGGCAGCATGTTGGCACGCTGCCTCAAAACTTGCAGCCTCTGGCATTGTGCTGTGATAAAACTGCACATTTCAGAGTGTTCAGCCTAAGGCACTTCTTTACCCGCTTCTTCCTTTTTAAGTCACGGGTCACTGTTGCCCATATCCAGCCATCACTGTGCAAGAGGTGGGGGACACCCTGGACAGGTCTCAGTCCATCACAGGGACACATAGAGACAAACGAGACAAACGACCATTCACTCTCTCTCTCACACCTAGGGACAATTTAGAGTTACCAATCAGACTAACATGCGTGTTTTTGGGCTGTAGAAAGGCCCCTGGCCCAGATTCAATCTGGCGACTTTCTCGCAGAGAGGCAACAGCTCTACCCACTGCACCACCGTGCCGCAATAATCTTGCTGTCTAATCAACATCTTGATCTGCCACACCTGTGAGGTGGATGGATGATCTCAGCAAAGGAGAAGTGCTCACTAACACAGATTTACAAAAAAAGTTGTGAACAATATTTGAGAGAAAAATGTTTGTTGTGTGCATAGAAAATGTCTTGGATCTTTGAGTTTAGTTCATGAAACATGGAAGCAAAATCAAAAGTGTTGTGTTTATATTTTTGTTCAGTGTACATTTGTGTAGTAACACAGACGTTGTTTGGTTGAAAACATAGTGACAAACTAAACAAAATGTAGCAGTTTAATATTAGCTAATGTAGCGTTCTTTCACACTGATATGTCGATTTTGAGAAAGAGATGTTTGATAAAAATCAGGTCCTTGTTGGGCTATCCATTAGCATAGACGGAAGAAGACTAGACTCTTTCTCCATACTCTGTACTCATGTTGATGTTGGATCCCAGAAGCTAATGTTATCTCCAAACAGCTAATACTCCCAGTGTGACCAATGGTTCCTGAGCAGTGTGGCTGCATTAGCAACCCCGATGTTTCTAGCCAAAAACACAATAGGTGACACAAAACCCTGGGAGATAAAGGTTCTGTCTAGATCTCGTGTCCGCAACTGATCTACTTACCGTATTTTCTGTCTAAGTCGCATCAGTCCAAAAATGTCTAATAATTTGGAAAAAATCCATAATTATGTCGCTTCGCCATATAAGTTGCATCTATTACGCATCACCGCTGACAACCTGGAAACATGGGCCGATGTTGTGCCAAAAATCGATTGGCTGCCAAATGATTAACGATTAAAGATTAACACTTAAAAACAATTGTTTGTTTGCTCGACATTATAGTAAAGGTGTGTCTCAGTTGAACTTTTCCTTAATAAACGCACTTTAATGGTCAAATCAGCTGCATTTTGCCGGGGTGGTGCAGCGAAATGAAGCTGATTTGATGGTTGCTCCAGGCGAGCTGGATGAAGGTGGCAGGCTATGGCAAGCCGATTGCGTCATTAATAGCCACTTTTACCTATTACATGATACAATGGCATGCCATACACCTCGAGTGCCATCTAGTGGCTGAAAATGATAGTGTTCAATATTTTCAATGTCAGAATGAATGAAATTGTCATCTCAGCCAAAAATTGGTTTATAAATATGGGGGAGCGGGGGGGGGGGGTCGATTCGACCTATAAGTCGCAGGGCATGTAAATTATGCAAAAAACTGTGACTTATAGGGCGAAAAATACGGTATGTCATTTAAGTCCCTCAGCTGTGTCAGAGAGCAGATTTCTTCACACAGAGTATAAATCTAGCTTAAGCCAGACTTCTGTTGGGCTCGGGTGTTCCCACAAGCCTTAAAGGTTTTAGTTTAGTAATTTTTCCTAAGATAAATGGATGTTTTGGGCTGCAGGTGCGTTATGACGAGGAGGTGAAGCACCTGGTGTTGGAGCCCTTAGCTCTGGCGCAGGAGATGAGGAAGTTTGACCTGAACACTCCCTGGGAGGTGTTCCCTGCATACCGAGAGCCCAAAGAGCCTGCAGCCAAACTGGAGGCTGGAGACCCCACCCCGGACAAGAAGTGATGTCCCTCAGTTCAGTCCACACACTCGTCCTCACCCTGTCCTGAATGTTTGTTATTCTGGGACTCCAGCTGAACCCCACTTTAACTATATATGTAAATAAAAATAATAATAAAAAGTCTTAAAATGTGTTTTGTTTTTATTTAGAGCTAAGCTTTTAAAGTTGGAGAGAAATCTTAAAAAGTTGTAAAAGATTCTGAGATTTATGTTGATATGGAGGGTGAGGATGAGTTACAGCAGCTCGTGACATTTTCTGTTTCTTCTTATATAATTTTTATGATGTAATGTTATTCTATAATCTGGTGAACTGTGATAAATGCTGGACCTTCAGATGGGGAATTATGTTGTTGCCACCTGCTAATCTGAGCTACAGGTGCCGCATTCCCCAGGTCAAGCCACTTTTGAACCAGAAACAGCAGCAGAAGTGCCTGACCTGGGCTACAGAGAAGCAGCACTGGACTGTTGCTCAGTGGTCCAAAGTACTTTTTTCGGATGAAAGCAAATTTTGCATGTCATTCAGAAATCAAGGTTCCAGAGTCTGGAGGAAGACTGGGGAGAAGAAAATGCCAGAAGTCCAGTGTGAAGCACCCACAGTCAGTGATGGTCTGGGGTGCCATGTCAGCTGCTGGTTTTGGTCCACTGTGTTTTATCAAGGGCAGGGTCAATGCAGCTAGCTATCAGGAGATTTTGGAGCACTTCATGCTTCCATCTGCTGAAAAGCTTTATGGAGATGAAGATTTCATTTTTCAGCACGACCTGGCACCTGCTCACAGTGCCAAAACCACTGGTAAATG